GAGATCTGCTTTGCCCTTTTCTGTGGATTCATTCTCAGTGTCATCCTCTTAAAGCTAAGGTTCCCAAACCAAAGTTATTCTTGGTCTTTTGTAAGAAAATAATTGTACAATGTGATGCTCACAAATGTACAAGGTCTGTGGTGCAAATGGGACTCGGGGGGATGGTTTCAAGGAGAAAGTGGGGCCTGGCTCTCCCTGATTCACTGTCAAGTGCCCCTTACTTCAGCTGCCCATCACATGACCTCAGTCTCCCAGGGGTGGGAATGAGCCCTCTGAAATACCTCTCTTTGACTCTCCTATGATGCACTAGGATTAGTGCTGAGAAGACACTGGGCTTCTGGGGCATAAGCTATGTGTGTGCATCAGGAAGGGGCTGTGGTACCCAGACATTAGATGCTGAGCATGGACCAGGCCCTCAGCAGTCAGTCACTAGTGCCAACTCCAGCAGATCTCCTGGTGCTGTTCATTGAGTGGCAGTGGTATGGCTGAGTGGGTATTGATAGATACCCCGAAGAGCTATAATTTAGGCTCTCATTGCATTCCCCACTTACTCATGGCTCAGGAGCATAATTTCTGCATTACGCTAAGTGTTCTCAGACTTTTAAGTGATGGTACAGACTTAACCTGCTGTTGTACTTGCCACTTACACTAAGTAAAACAGAGGGTTCCCTGCAAAGGTAGTGTCGGGGATTTCAGAAATTCTTTTGGTAAAAGGTTGTTCTTCCAACACAGTTAGACCTTGCTTGATGGTTAATTTTGCTTCCCAGGTGGCTGATCCTGTTGTCACATTTTGTGAGACAGTGGTGGAGACATCCTCCCTCAAATGCTTCGCTGAAACACCCAATAAGAAGTAAGCTGGGGAGGGGGCAGGTGTCACTGTGTTTGTCCCGTCTCCCCACAGCTACAGGTGCTGGGGAAGTAGAGACCCCCTAAGTCTCAGGATGGAGATGCCTGGGATACTTGAGTTTCACCCCAGCCCTCTCATCCCTTATGCCTTGGACTTACTGCTATGGAATTCTCTGCCTTTGGTATGACCAGGAATTTCCTAACGGCTGCATCTCCTCTATTATATGACCATCTTAAACACCTGCCTCAAACCTTCCTTGTTTAAAAAACAGTAGGTTCAAATGAAGAAAGGCAGAGATGAGCTCTTGTTGTTCTGCTCAGCCCCTGTGACTCTTGCTGATGTCACCGTCTTGGCTGTTCTCTTCGTCACCCTTTTCTTGGGAATTCCTGTCCCCCTAGTCCTCATAACCCTCATTTCCCATGTCCTTTCTGACTAGGAACAAGATCACTATGATTGCTGAGCCTCTTGAGAAGGGCCTCGCAGAGGACATAGAGAACGAGGTGGTCCAGATCACGTGGAACAGGTGGGGCAATGGCTCTGATTCCCAGGCAGGAGGGAAACAGGCTCCCAGCTCACCTGCCGGGTCTTGTACCACATGTCCTTGTGGGGAGCGATTTATTTGGTCTCCCCCTTTGCTATTGTCTGGGCGTTGTGTGGGTACCTACAGAAAGGCAGGCTCTGTGGCCCCAGCAGCCAGCAATCACAGAGCTGTCAGAGTGTTCCTTTTTCTCTTCCTTCCCCAGGAAGAAGCTGGGAGAGTTCTTCCAGACCAAGTATGATTGGGATCTGCTGGCTGCCCGTTCCATCTGGGCTTTTGGCCCTGATGCCACTGGCCCCAACATCCTGGTGGATGATACCCTCCCCTCTGAGGTACTCAGCCTGCTGGCTACCAGTGTGGCAGTCTCTGAGCTCTTGAGGGGAAGTGTTCTCCTGAAAATGTTCTCTGTCTGCTGGTGAAGGAGAGTAACCCTTTACCCGCGGGCCTCCCTTCTCCCTGTGAACTCTCGGCTGTTTCCAGCATGTCTGCTAAGGGGTCCTCCCTCATGTTCCATGCAGGTGGACAAGGCCCTCCTTGGCTCAGTGAAGGACAGCATTGTTCAAGGTTTCCAGTGGGGCACCAGAGAGGGGCCTCTCTGTGATGAATGTAAGTCTGCGAGCCCCTCCACCTGGGGCCTTGCACCTGGGTCTGTGAGGTGGAGCGACGCACCTGCGGGATCTGGCAGCAGTAGCTTGGGGCCCACAGGGCCATTGCATGTCCTGAGCCAACTTCCTTCATTCTCCCTTCCTATCCTGGTGCTGTCACTTGGTACAGCCTGGAAATGAAGTCATTGTAGACTGACATTAGTACTTCATTCCAGAGAAGGAATGGGCATCAAGAGGAAGATGGGATCAGAGTGATTTGCAGACCAAAATCGGACTTAGTGGGAACAGATGTACAATTCTTAGAACTTGTGCATCTAAAAATAAACACCTGCCAAATAAACATACAAGCTTCTAGGGGAGCTCTAGGATGTTGAGTGCCTAAAACAAACACTGAGGACGCAGACTTAACTCTGGACCTCTTTGTCACAGGCCTGTGTATTGTTATAATGCCTACTCGGCAGGGTGATTTTCTGCCACCTTTTGTGGCTGCAAGGTGGCTTCAGTGCAGCAAGAGACTCCTTGCTGCTCTGTCCATGGGCTCTTGATGTGTCCCATAACCTTCCCAAGTCAGCTCCCCTCTCTCCTTTTCAGTGATTCGAAATGTCAAGTTTAAGATCCTGGATGCAGTGGTTGCCCAGGAACCCCTGCACCGGGGCGGAGGCCAGATCATCCCCACAGCCAGGAGAGTGGTCTATTCAGCCTTCCTCATGGTGAGTGAGTGTGGCTGTCCTGCCTAGGGCTCAAGCTGGGGCCCAGTTCCCCAGCCTTCCCCAACTTGAGGAGCCTTTTCTTCTTGCTCTGTTACAGGCTACTCCTCGTTTGATGGAGCCTTACTACTTTGTAGAGGTGCAGGCCCCTGCTGATTGCGTCTCTGCTGTTTATACTGTCCTGGCCAGACGCAGGTGAGCAGCCCAGGCCTCTCAGGAAGAATGTGGAGAGCAAGAACAGAGCAGAAGGAACTTGCCTACCTTGGGGAAGGAGATTAGCCTCCCCACCTGCCCCTCTCCATTCCTGAAACCTACTGAACTGATTTTCCAGAAGGAAGTAGGAACCAGACTGAGGCAGTGGCCAGCTTAACCACAAATTTGAGATTCCTTCTCCTCAGAGAACTCCTGGGGAAAGCACTGAAGCGTGTCAACAGTGGCAATGTCTGTGACCTAGTCCTGTCAGTGTCCCCACTTTTGCCCAGAAGTCACTGCCCAGTTCACTTCCATATGGAATTATGTTGAGCCCCAGCCTTACCTGTCTTCTGTTTGTATTTGTGGCTATTCTGTTTCTGGTGGCAGCTCAAAGTTGGGGTACATTTGGGGGCAGATTGCTTCTTGGCTTTTGGCTTCTGTAGAACCGGGGGCTCAGCCTTTGTTTCTCTCTCTTAGGGGGCACGTGACTCAGGATGCACCAATTCCAGGCTCCCCTCTCTACACCATCAAAGCTTTCATCCCAGCCATCGACTCTTTTGGCTTTGAGACTGATCTGCGGACTCACACTCAGGGGCAGGCCTTTTCCCTGTCTGTCTTCCACCATTGGCAGGTGAGAAAATGGTGCAGACTGGCCAGTTTGACCTTCTGCCTCTACAAGGCTAATCCTCTCTCAACAGATTTCTAACATCCTAGAGAAGAGTCCTCTTCTATGCCTCTGTGCTCTGGGAGGTCTGCCTGGACCATCTGAAATCCCTTTGCCTTTCAGATTGTGCCTGGTGACCCTCTGGACAAGAGCATTGTCATCCGCCCCCTCGAGCCACAGCCAGCTCCCCACCTGGCCCGGGAATTCATGATCAAAACCCGTCGTAGGAAGGTAGGCATTCCTCAGGCCCATTGCCCGCCCCAGGGGTCTCAGCAAGAGTTCGATCTCTCTTTTCTTCCTTTTGGACCCTTTTCCCAAAGACTGAGAGTGAATGACTGTGGAGTGTAGAAAGATCCCATGTGTACAGGCCAACCAGATGGGACCGGCGGCAGGAAGGCCTCCTCCCCACGATGATACCCCGAAGGCCTGGTTCCTGAAAAGGCCTGGCCGACATTGCACCCCGACCAGCCTCCCACTCAAACTCAGGTCTGCCACACACCCCCAGCTCAGTCAGTGCCACGTTGGCCTCATTCTTGGCTTTGTGTCACGTCCTGCAGGGCCTGAGTGAAGATGTGAGCATCAGCAAGTTCTTCGACGATCCTATGTTGCTGGAGCTTGCCAAGCAGGACGTCGTGCTCAATTACCCCATGTGAGTGCCAGGACTGCAGGCAGCGCCTGCTCCCTGCAGGGGCTGCAGCTTGGACTTGCAGGGGGACCTGGTGTGGCTTGGACTTCATGTTGTCAGAGATCATCTGGGAACCGACGGGGCCATCTTTAACGCCGGGGAACCTCCAGCCCAGAGCCCCGCAGAGGGAGGAGCATTTCACCTCCTGGTTCTTTCTGTGGCCTCTGCCTGGCTCCATTCCCAGGGAACAGAGTGGAACTTGGGCTCAGGGAAGGACCAGGGGATCAAAGTGTTTAACCCCAAGGGGTTAAACCCCAAGGGGCCTTGTCTTCAGGATTTACGTGGAATTTTTTTTTCAACAAGTTTGAATTTAGACATGATTTATAAGTGAACAGAATGTTCTGACCTCTGCCTTGATCTGTTCCTTTCATCCCTGTCCCTCCTCTCCCTTCCCTCCAGCATACTTGTGTCCTGGCACTTGGGTTCTGGATATATGTTGTCTCCCGTGAGGCTTCACTGTCTGTGCTCCCAGCTGCAGCCTTTTCCTGCTGGGTCCCCAGGGAAGCTGCCTGTGGCGGGAGGAACACCTGCCTCATAATTCAGTGTTCCCATGAGCACTGAGGCCTCTTCACTGCCCACCCTCCTGCTCCCACTCCACATTCAGGCCTCTCTACCACACTGCTTCTAGGTGGGACCGGAGATGGCCTGGGAGTTGTTGGGATTCTGGGCTCAGAGTCTATTCTTCCTCCTCCTCTACCCCTTAAGAGTCTCCCTAGCCCTGGAGTTGGGAGCCAGAATTCTGATTTCTAACCCTCCCATCAGCCACTACCAGCCCCATCCTCTGCTCTCCCCCATAGGAAGAAGAGTCTGTAGACTTTCCTCAAAACTACTTTATTAGGAGTATCGCAGGGGTAAATTTAAGAGGATCTGACTGCTGCAGACCCTGGGGGGTGCTACTTCTCCCCGGCATCCTCCGCTGCTTTCTTGATGTAGTCTCTGTACATCGTGTACACAGCACCTGGGAGAGGGAAGAATGCCCCTTGGCACTGATGCCTGAGCGCACGTGCTAGCTCTCCCAGGTGTGCAGGTGTGGCGCCCCGGTTCCAACTCTTGCCGTTCCTTTGAGAGTCCAACTTCCCCACTCACCTCTCCCCACTGGTCTCAACAGTTGCCGCAAGCACCTGACCACAACTTAGGGTGACAAAACTTTGCGTTCACAGAGGAATGTCACATGTTACCTGTCTGGGAAATTTCATAGCGCCCTGTGCAGTAAGCATATCAGGTGGTCATCACCACATGACACTGAGGCCCAGAGCAAGGAATCTGCCCACCCATACACAGGAAGCAATTGTCTGCCCTTTGATCCAGAGAGATCCAATGTGTGTTCCATCATGTGCTTTTCCTTACCTCTAGGACAAATTCAGGAAACAGATCGCACTTCCCCACAGGGCTGGGACAGGATGTTAGACAGGGAACCCTGAGACTGTCTCAGTATGGGGGCTTCACCAAAGACATGATGCAGACCCCATGTAGGGAACAGGGACTGCCTGGGCTCACAGCCAGCTTTGCCTGCAGTCTGCTGTGACCCCACCTAGCTACTCACCTAACATGATGGCACCCACGGCACAAGCCTGCGCTGCCACCCGGGTGTGAATCAGGTGTATGGACATCTTGGTGGAGCCCCGCGCCTTCAGCCGGTAAATCCTGTAGGCAGCCACCAGCAGGCAACCTCCTATACCTGCCGTCAGAGAACAGGTGCTCTAGGCTCAGCCACCAGGCACAACTATCCTGAGAGGCCTCCCTAGACTGGCTGGGTGTGTGGATAAACTGCTGCTTCACTGGGAATGGGGAGGGGTGCTCTTAGAATATTTACTTTCGTCCTCTCAATGGCATTGTCAAAGTGGTGGCCTCCCTCCAGTGACACCCCTCCCGCACAGGCACAGCACCCATCCTGGCTCTCCTGGCCCCCGTAGCTTTGCTCTGGGCCCTTCTCCAAGCACCGATGGCTCCTGCATCTTGGTACTACCATGTTCCTCCTTTCCCAGGGCCTGGAGGAAGGCAGCCCTGGGTGACCCCAAACTGCTCCTCCCCATCTGATGGTGGTATTGGTGCCCCCAGATTCCCCACATTCCTTGCACTCTATGAACTGCCTCCTCCACCTACCCAGACTCTGGTTTTGTTGGAAGGAAGACCCCCTCTGTCCCTGGGCACCTCCAGTGTTGGCTCACGCCTAGGGCGAAGCCCCTCCCCTCCCCTTCTCCCACTCACCTATCGGCACCAGTGGAGACTCCCTGGTTTTCCTCAGGAACTTCTCAGACACACTGTCTTCGCCCTCGGGTGGCACCCACCAGCCTTTATTAGCAGACATGCTCTTGGTCCCAGGTGTTGACAGGCGGGGTTCCTAGGCTCCAGCCCAGTCCTAGAAGAAGGCACTGCACAATAAGAACTCCGGTTTTCCTCAGTCAGGCAGAAGGAAGGAGTTGCCTTTCGGCCCTCTTACCATGCTCAGCACAGCCTCTACTTGAAAAGGTGTCCTGTACTGTCAGATGCCTGGACCTCTACGCCATTTCTCCATCTCCTTCCTAACATCTGTCTCCTCCCCAGCTCCTCCTGACTTCAGTTTTCTCTCCTTTCCCCTGCCCCATCTGCATCCCAATGGGTGTGATCCTTCGGCCAAGAAAAGCAGCTGGAAAAATCCACAGATGAGGGTGGGAGGAAGAGGCCTTGAGCTCTGAAGCCCCCACTGGCCTTGAGTCTGTCACGGTTGCTCCTGGGGGAGCAACAGAGCAGGATGTGGCCCCAGGGAGCCAGAGCCTTCCCAGACAGCATTACACTCATTACCAAATCGCCAGAGGCTTAAATATTTGGACATTGACTTGTGTGACTGAGCATAAGTTTCGGACATGAATACTCACGTAACAAGTCTTGTTCCTGAGCTGCTCCTGTTTCCATGTCCGTCTCTCTCCAGTTCTCTGCAATTACCAACCCCTTACCTGCACCCCTGGGCTGGTGACCCCTATTACTTGTAAACACCTGCAAATGTCTGGCCTAATCACCAACTAGACAGCGACCCAAAGTCAGTCCTCAGACCATGCGTTCTCCCTGTGGGGTGCCTTCTAAATCCAACCATGAGACTAACTCCCTATTTGCAGCAACTTATACTCTTAGTTGCTGCTCCTCTCCTGGGGGAGCAGGCACTGCCCACGCCGTTGCTTACCCTAGGAGACAGCTACACAGTGGAGCACCAGCAGCCAGCCAGGAACTGGCCAAGATTTGATGGTGGAGCTGCCACTATAGGGTCAGGGAAGCAGTGACAGGCTTTATGAAAGCTTTGAAGTCAGGAACAGAGGGGAGGAGATAGGGTAGGGCATCAGTCTTAACCCCCCATCTGCTGAGTTCCAGGCCAGAGCTCCAGGCCCTGGAAAGTAACACCAGACAGAGGAGAATCTGTAACTCCATTCAGTCATTTGCTTCCCAAGGACAAGTGGCTGGCTCGGAGATGACTGGATATGGAGAACTGAGATGGGAATATAGAGGCAAGAATGGGTCGAGATCCTGGGTTCCCCTTTAAGTTATACTGGCTCAAATACTCTTTTTTTTTTTTTTTTTAAGATTTATCTTATTTATGCATACAAGAGCTGGGGTATAGGCCAGAGGTGGGCGATGAGAGGGGTGAGAGGATTTACCAGAGACAGAGTGGAGACAGAACAGGCAGATCTACTGAAATACACTGCTGAGAGGAGCAGCGGGCAAGACAGGAGAGGTCTGCTGCGCCATGTGTGTCACCTCTCTGGCTGGCCGGGGATTGAACTGCGGTGGCTGCGGGTAGCTTCATAGTGCTGAGACTTAACCCCTTGCACCACCAGAGAGGCCCTGTCTCAAATACTGTTATGAACAATGTACAATGTAGAAAATGCCCCGCCTGTGGGAGGCAGGCTCTCTGAATTTGATCACTTCAGGGATGCTTTCTGAACTGAAGAGATTTGTCCAGAAGTTCGCAACAACTGGAGCATTCTTCAGAGCTCTTTATACTTGGGGGCGATGCTCACTCATGTCACACAGACATGCGTGACCTGAGTCAGTGACCTATCTATCCAAGGCATTTGGACACAACTCTTCTGAATGGTAAGTAGTATTTTGTTCATCGACAAGGGAAATGAACGTCTGAGGGGCTAAGTGAATCATGTGAGGGCACACCCCTAGACATTCTCATAACCTGTGCCCAGGTCTGGCTCGCTTCAGTTTGTACACCTAGTGTACTCCCCAGGGGTCTGCGATTGATACTGAGGCTTAGGGATGCTAATTAATCTGTATTACCCTAGATTAGGAGAAGAAAAAGTACCTTCTTGCTGAGCAAATGAGAGATTGGGGGTGCTCTGGAGAGTCCCACTCCACCCCAGGCCTTTGCTTCTGCCATAGATGACTCTCAGCCCACGTGTCTGTCCTAAGTTGGCTTGTCCAGCAGCTGATGGCTCTCTCCCCAGCACTCACTGCTCAGAAGAGACCCAAGGTTACAACAGCTCCCCAGGGCCTTCACATATCCCCAGCGTCCATGGGAACTCTCCTCCCAGTCATTCACACACACTGTCCCATGCTGCTGCTCCTTGTCCCAGCAGCAGCCTAAATTCTCAAGAGAGGGATGATAAAGGCCAAAAGCAAAGGGATGGAAATGCCTGGATGACACAGGACAAGAAAGGGTCACCTTCTTTGGAGGACGGGCCAAATCAGAGGGAAGTTCAACTTCTCCTACTAAGATTATGTACATGCTCTCACAGCATCTCAGCCTAAAACTGAAAAAAATAATAGCTGCTGTGAATTACTGCATGCCTATGGGTCAAGAAGTTTGCTAACTGCTATAAGTAGATTATTCAGTCCTGACAATGGCACTGTTATGCTTCCCATTTCACAGATGAAAGCTGAGGCTTAAGTTACATGTTTTGCCCAAGGTCACAGTATGTGAGAGAAAAAATAGGACCAGATTTCTAAGCATTCATAAAATCAAATCTCACTGCTCTGGGCTAACTTGAGAGACTGGATGTAAAGTAGAAGGAAAGTCTAAGAAGAAATAAATTGTGTTTTACTGCAAAAACTTTTGAGAACATACAGTAACTAAAACTTCAAGGAACAGATTTCTGTGGAGTCCTGCTTAAGTAAACATAAGATAAAATAATGATAGCATCATTTTTGTTAATATGCCAAGTTTTTAATAGCAGTTTCAATTTAAGCATTTCTACATTAGTAATTTGCTTAGTAAACCTTACTTTCTTCTGGATCAGGTAATGCTAATAGAAATTCTAATTTAGAGAATTAGAATTCTTTGATTCTAGTGATGATGCAAACAGATTTAGTAGATCCTGAGTGTAGGAAGGAGTCGTGTGGGGTCAGTTAACTGACCGACCACTCTATACACGTGGTCTGATGCCACTGTCAGGGTGCAGGAGAACCTTCCCATGCCCTTCCGCATTCTAGGCTGGCAAATAAACATTAGACAAACTGATAAGAAAAAAAAAAATAACATGTACTAAATCTCCATATGTATGTTTTTAAATTTTGGCTTTTTTTTTTTTTTAAAGGATAGATTTATTAGGAAAAAGCAGGAAGAGGCACCTGCATAGTCACAGGTGGGCAGGAAAGCTGCTGCTCCTGTTTGCCAAAGGAAGAGTTTTGTGAAAAACACCTGTATCATCACAGGTGAACAGGAGAGCTAAATTTTGGCTTTTTTCCTAATCAGTCAGATGTTAGTTTCTTTCATCCGACCCCAGAGGGATGGGGGTCTTTTCCCTGTGCACCAAAACCTTCAGCGGTTTTGAGTCTATGTCATCCTCTACGAGTGAGACAGCAGCTGCCCACAGGATCACTGCAAGGGTTAAATAAGATGATTCCTCCTGAACGGGACAAGTGGGAAGTCCCTGAGGACAGATGGAAGGTTACCCTATTCTGGGTGGTCCTAAATTCAACACAGCCTTTTTTGTCCCTCTCCAAACCCTGGCTTGTTGGGCTTCCCTGCCCCAACTGGACGCTTCAGCTATTGTGTTGGAGTAGGGGAGAAAGAAAGACTTGAAGCTCTGCACAATCTAAGGCACAGCTGTGCTATATATAGCGCAAGGGAGCTGAGGGACCAGACGGAGGAAGGGAGGGACGTAGGGCAGCTTTTGCCTGGAGCTGAGGAGAGCTGTGAGTGAGGGAATGAACTTGACAAGGAACAGAGGATGCTCTGAGTTGGGCTTGGAAGGGGAAGGACCCAGGCTGAAGGGTTTGTGAATCACAGGGGAGAGACTTGGGCAAAGAATTAGGTTACAAGAACAGGCAGGGGCAGTGGAAGTTTCCAGATGATGTGGCTAAACTGAGGCAGCCTCTAGAAGGTGCCTGGAGTAGGGAGGGTGTGAAACCCCCTCTCCTTCTGAAAGTAGGCATTGGGTTCCAAGGACCTTGCAGCATTTGACCAAGGACAGCACCAAAAGCCACAGGCCCAGGAAAGTTCTTGTGGTACCCACTAATCTTCCTGGGAATACTGCTCACATTTAAATGATTCTAAAAGTGTGGACAATGGTGAATCAAGGTATATCGATGCCGACCTGGAATCATATCGTGAAAAGGAAAAATCCTGAGCTGCCACAGAGACCTTAGGAACCCTGTCTCAGAGATTTGAAATGTCTAGCTAAGGTCCTTGTGTTGAATGAGGGCTTCTTACCCAGCTTGTCTAAAGCACACTATGGGAAGGGACTAATATCTTGAAAGCCTGTACTGCAATGGTTAAATGAGACAATTCAGGAGCACAAAATAAAGTATTCTCCCTTTCCTTAGCATGCCTTCCCACCACTTAGGGCGCCTGCAGAGTGCTCAAATTTCTACAAGGCAGTTTAAGAGGAGAGATTCCTCTGCACACACATTTTTTAGGAGGTCTTTGAAAAGGAGCCTGATGGGATTTAAGGGGTTAAGAGGAAACCGCCAATTAGGGTCTTGCTAAGATTTAGGCATTTGCACACATTTCATTTAATCCTCATGACAGCCTGCAACAGGTAGATCTCATCCCATGTTACAGAATGGGAAGCCAGGAGGTTAAGTAACGAACTCAGCTCACACAGCAAGTAATGATCCAACCACCAGGAACCACTTAACAATGAAAACATATAACATTCTTAACTTCTGGGCCTGAAGGAGAAGGGGGAAAAAATTAACAACAATGTTATGTAACAATAATGTGATTTCTTATACATCTCATCACATCATCTCATTCTCACACCATCTTAGAAATTACAAGAGGGCAAACAGCTGAGCAGTCCTGACCTGACCTCTGACCCCAGGGCTCCAGACATTCAAGGATGTGCACCTACCCCACCCCTTCTCACCCAAGGCAGGGCAGTCCTGGCTGTGTGCAGAAGTCCTTGCCTGATGGGTGGTCCCTCAGCAGGTCTTCAGCTCCCATACCCTTTTCCCCCCACCAACTCCTGCACATTTCTCATTTGTAAGTAAACTGACCTTAACTTAAAATCCAGCATTAATATAAAGAAACTAACAGGGCTTTGGGAAAAACTGTTGGGGCGGGGGGGATCTTACTGTTGCATTAGCTATTCAGAAAAAGCTGTTGACAACACAAGAATCTGCTTCAGTCAATTCCTGTGACAGGGAGAAGTGGTTGTGTCCCACAGATGACTAAAACTGCTGGGAGGTGTCGGGGAGAGGGGGCGCTACTAATACACCCCTCCCATTAGCAGAAGTAATCAAGAACTTTAATTCTTCCTTATTATCCAGTCAGTCTGGAGTAGGCAGGGCTTCCCCGGGCCGACAGGGAACTTTCTCAAATCCTACCTATCTCCAGGCCTCTGCTCCCATCCTCCAGGGCAGAAGAATTTGCTCTGAGTTTACCAGCCAAGTGGAGACCCTGGAAAATGTGTAATGGAAATAGTGACACATTGCAGTCTTCAGTTGACCCTACAGTTCCCAAACCACAGAGCCCCAGGGTGACTCTCAAGTTCTCAAACTAGGTTTTGATCCTTTCCTGCCTGGCCCCTTGTGAATAAGAAGTAATGTGGTTCTCACAGCGCCTAGCTCTGCCGCTCCTGCCAGAGGCTAGGACCATTTCCCCAGACCCATTTCCCCATTTGAAGTTTGGACTACTTTTCCTCCCTCCAGTAGTCTTTTCATGCTAGAAAGGGTGAGCCTTCACTCACCCATTCACTTTGCTGAGACTCACTGAACACCCACTATGCT